GGATTCGTACCCAGTGCCGCTGGATGAGTCCAGCATCCTTCCTCTAGACCACAGAGGCGGCGAACACAGAGTCAGTCAGCTGAAATTCGTGTAATTGTTGTTCGAACCGCGAAGCTTTACATCTGGACAACGGCAGGCATTCCTTACATAAACGGATCGACAACCCGTAACGCAATTCATGCTATTGGAAACTCGCCCTGTTCGAGCCCTGAACCCCCTCTGCCCTGTCATTCATGTATTGCAACGCCGATGATGATATCGACAATATCGATATCGATAATGATAAGTTATCCTCCGCTAGTGTCACTTATCATGCAAACGCAAGACCGCGGGTATAATTCTATGGAAATAACCATTTCGGTGCGGTCCTCACAGGCGATCTTGCTGGCGATCCCTCCCAGGGGCCGAGCCCCGGAGCAGCGCGTGTGTGTGCCACATACCCGACGTTCAGACATAATACCCAGAAAATATATTTGGAAAATCACAATTTGCCACAATTTGATCGATCTGCTCCGGACCGCTTCGGCAGAAAAACTGAAAAAACCAGCGATAAATTTAAGCGAGGGGACGTGACAAATTTAACGCCCAGAACAAGGTGAGTGCTTTCCGTGCCGTTTACTACGTTAGCCCACCCGTGTTTTCTGGAATGCCTGGATCACCCCGGCTTGTACCAGTACGAGCTGGCGGCTTGTACCGCCTAGCACTCCGGTACCGCCGTACCGCCTTGTACCGCCTTGTACTCCGGTACCGCCGTACCGCCTTGTACCGCCTTGTACGCCTTGAGCGCTCCGGCTTGCACCAGTCGATCGAGCCAATGGACGCCGACTAGAGTTCACCGACCCGACGTTGGCACCCTGTCCCCTCAGCGAAGGGGCGGGGTAGAGCTCACAGGAAACCCCAAGACGGTGGCGGCCAGGAAGTCGTCAGAAGGTGGTGACTCATCTTCAGACCGCCGCCGGGACAGATATATTTTCACCCTCATCACGAGGAACGGGGTGGTAGGCATCCCCGCCATTGGGTTTCAAACTTGGCTTGAGACAAAAAAAGGAGAACCGAATCCACGAATCCATCGAATCCACTGGGTTCTTATCTGATCCTTTCAGGTCACCACTGAAAACTGGCCCCTTCTGAATTTCACCCTCGCCCTGATAGGGGCTGGTCCACCTCCAAGTTTTGTACGATACCTCCCCGTCGGATTTTGCAATCGCGCTCAAATTCTCAGTAGCAAATGGACATTGTTTGCACGTGTTCACACAACAACGCGCTTTTCCGATTTCGGAGTGCTTCGGACGCTTCAACTCCCCCCCCCCCCCTCCCCCACCTCCCCATCGGTCCACGTCCATGGTTATCAATCCGCGGTCTTCCTCCAAAATGCTTTAAAAATCCACCTTTTACCTCATCTTAAAAGACCACAGACATTCATTTCTAAAACTGTATGCATCAATTGATAACTTGGAAATGACAGACTAAAAATTCTGGATATTTGTTATCATGAGAAGTGTCAGCTTCTTACAATCTGCATAAGCGCAAGCACCGTTCGTTGCGTCACAACTGTCATAATGCCAATATTTTCATTGAATAACCAGAGCCAGCCTCCTATATGGTGTTTGCCGTCTTAAAGTGGATGCATCATGCAACACCATATGAAAACCACATGGTATCTTTGAAATGATCCACATCTCTGCCTTACCACCATCCGCATTTTAACCCATAACCATCGCCGCGCCGCCGTGTTATGGCAGAGGATGTGGTGAAAGCGAGAAAGGCAACAATATTTTATCCACTGATGTTTGCTCCTCCAGTGGCATTATTGCCCTTCAGCAATACCGTCAAAAACGGTGACGTATTGCTGCATGCTGCAAAAATTGTTGTATGAAGACAAAGAGGGCTGGTTAAAAAATTTCGAAAAGCTCTTTCTGCAGTTGACATAGCCTGTATGCTGCGACTTTTCTTGTTCATCGAATGCTTTATTGTCGCCATGTCTTAGGATGATTTTTAGTTACAAGGGACTGCATACATATAAAAACCTTGGAAACATTATAAACAAATCAGACAGCGCAAGAGTATTTGTGAAGAATACGTTGAAAATGGTAGCGACCGCAGTAAGGGAAAACCATGTGGTGTGAGTGTTCTGTAGACGTGATCGCAAATTGCATCTTCTTCAACCATGGATAAACAAAGTCTTTCCCACCACTTGTTTTCAGTTTCGACAATTGTTACGTATTTACACCCCAGTAGCCGCTGGCTCTATTCACAAGCGAGTTTTGGCTAAGGCAATGAAAGAATTACTAGTTTTCTACGCATTTTATTACTCATGAACGTTGATTGCGATTTGAAAGGTAAGTTTTTTTTGCGCATCCAAAGGACTCAGTGCGCCACATCCTCACAACAGTCAAGTGCGGTGTGCAGCTGTATGCATATTTAGGACCTATCTAACTGCTCCTTAATGAAATCGGGCTACAGCATGAAGATTTGGGTTTTTATCATCGGATTTTTTTGTAAGATATTTGCTTTCGGTTGTTCAAGCTGCGCAAACAATTTTCTGGTGTATTGTGCTTGCGATAAGTTTTCTGTCGTTGGTGCTCTTGCTGTAACAAAATAAAAATACGGGTGTTTCATGAATGCTGTGTGTTTGGCAACACTTTCTGGTTTTTGGATTATTTCGAAATTTGATGAATAAAAAAACTTTTTCATCTGTTTAAACTTTTGACCCGCATGGACAGCCAAGCCTAGGCCATAGCCCAGCCAAAAGCCCGCGAGCTCTTGCGGATCGGTCAGATATTGGCGGGTTGGCCGGCTGAAAAGTCGCGCTTCTAGTTCAGATTCCACTATAAGATCGTGAAATGTTAGGTCAAAGATGGAATTTGGCGACGTAAGTTGAACGTGCCGCTGTGACCAGGCACGGTCCATCCAGCCCCCTGAAGTTACTTCACCTTTAAAGCAATCGCCGCCACCGGACGGGGCCATTCCAGTCAAGGGCAAATAGGGAGCGCCTAAAGGGATTCGAACTCACCATGCCACGAGTGGGCGAGAAGGAAGGCGGGCGCTCTAACTGAGCCAACAGGATGCACAAACTGCAAAGATGGCCGGATTTTTGTCTTGTATACCAGCGTTGTTTTGCGTTCGTTCTATTCCCTGACAACATGTATGCTTTGTTTTCACGGTAAATAGGAGGAACTGTGTTTGAAATCACATCTGGCGCAAAAACTGGTCTCACACCGATCTAAACTGTTACAGAATGGTCACGGGATATGCTTTTTACTTTGAACTTTTCAGTCTCTGCCTTAGAAGGATTATTAGAAGGAAATTTCCCTTTTGAAGTTATTGAAGCAAACATCAGATCTTTTTTTGATATGATGGAATAGATATGTTCATAGGATACGTAACTGTGATATGTGTCTATATGATATGATATGTATGATATACGGTATGATATCACGAAATATAAATGATAATATGATATGTATATCTGCATTATTTGTACCTATATATGATGGTTTCTAGATATGATAATTTTATAGATATGCTAAGATAATCTTACTTATAGCTATTGATATAATTTTTAAGTGGAAAAGACTTCTCTAGACAGCAAAATTTTCCGTGTAGTGAACATGTTCCCCAAACGCGTCATGGCTTGATAACGTCATCGCGCCTTGCACAACCTTAATTGAGAGCCAGTTGACGGCTGTCAGATATGGAGATCGCGCTCACGAACCCCGAAATGAACGCTTTGGCAATTATATTATTCTTGGCCTTGATCGCCGCATGGCTTATGGAATGACAGAACTTGAAGGACGTTGTTATGACGTCATGAATGCCGAGGTGACATTCAAATACTTTCCCTGACAAACCTCTCCCCATTTTCGCGAGTGTGCAGCCCATAAACTATAGGGGCTTAGGTCTTCATAAGGACATGATTGTGAACAGCACTAAAAGGTCTTCAAGATGGCTATTTCAGTTCAAAATCCCACATAGGTATGGCACACTTTCTTTAACATAGTTGTCAACTTTGGGCATGTCAAAAGTAACCGATATGCTTTAGGAATATCGCTCTGAATTGACGTCGTGAAAAGCCAATATTTTCTTTGAATGGACACTAAATCGAAACCTTATAAAATAGTGACCTTCTGGGATCACAGCTCACGCTGAGCAGCGTTTGTTGTATGAACCTGACCTCTACCATCCGTTCGCGCAATGCCACGGCAGAATTTGGTGGCGGATGCTTGATGTGCTGCAATGTTCGGCACGGCCATCCTGTCTTTTTATGTCACCCGATCTTCAGCTGTTGTTGTCGCTCGTCACTGACACCGGACAGAAAATCACGGGCAGTCTCATCAGAAATCGTTTGTTGCGATGTCAGGTGTGGTGGTCAGTATTTTTGTCATAAGCTGTACAAAACTTGACGGCGTGTCTCTAACTTCTTTCCCGCTGCATCAGCAAAATTCCTTGGGGTTATCGACTGCCTCCACTGCGAGCGCCAAGTAAGTAGATGGAAGGTCAGTTTAGACACCACAGTGGCAGGCAAACGGCAACTTTTTCCCGTCTGGCCTAGACATAGCCTGTCGCTCTTTAACAAAGTCAAAAGTAAAGACCGAGGCATTCCCCGCCTCCACGTACCCTGCGCAAAGGATGCAAAAGTCTAATGTCATTAACGACTTGAAGAAAACAATATCGAAGTGGTGTTAATTTTCGATTTGAATATATTTGTTGTGGCTGTCTGCGCGCATAGCTGTGGGCATGGCCCTCACGCCAGACAGACAGAGCATGTCATGTTTTACAAACTTTACAGATGGACAGCATGTTACAACTTACCAGCCACCCAGTCCTACAACTTACGAGCCACCCCGCACCACATGACAACTGATGGCACCCAGCGCGCCGGTCCCGAATACTACAGCTCTTACGGTTCTCACAGGTCGCCGACGGACGCGAGCCCGCGGCGCTGCCCGGCGGACTCGGTCCCAAATACTGCTGCTCTGCGGCCCATTACTGTCTCTATGGCCATCGTCGCCGTACGGACCGCGCTTGACGAAGGTATAAATGGCCGCTAAAACAAGTCGGCAGTGCTGGAGTGCGGTCAACAGGCGGAGAGTGCTCAGGCGGCTTGGCTGGTAGGTAGCCCATGGCTAATCAGTCTGCGGCTAAGCCACACGATAGTCCAAACGTTGGTTGCGTAATGATGTGTAGTTATTGTTTAGCTTTGCAGGGTTATGATGTAACATGTTTATAACATGCAACGTGTAACATACTAATCGTGTTAAGTGTTGATATGCCCTACTGGTTGCGTTATTGGCTATTTAATGGTAATGCGTATTGTTTCCTATTTAATAAAACTCATTTTTGTATTTTTCCAGTTATTCTTTGGCATTTATCAGGTTAGGGGTACCAAAAATTTACTCATTTCGGCAATTATATGAATTACTTCAGCTTTGACACGAGAACTTAAAGACGGACTTATCGTTGTGGCATTTATTGACAGCATTATATATTCCCATTTGTTGGTATTTCCGGGCAGTAGCGGCCACGGGTGTAGATGGAAAAATCAATTGGAGGCGAGCAGGAGGGTGACCGGTGACCGGAAAGGAAAGGGGGAGCTCAGCGAGCCCCTTAAGTGCGATATTGACCAGGCTTTATCCTGAAATGGGCCAAATCATGGAAACTATGGGGATATAGCTTACTGGATGGTCACATTTGGGCTGTGTAAAACACGACTCGTGTAAAACGACACGTCATCATTTTAGATTAGCCTTAGGATACTGATGAAAACCCGACGTATGTACATTGATTTAAAGGAAACCTTGACATCGTACATGTGTTGACCAGTAATCACACGATCATGTACCATGCGCACTAAAAACGCTCTACGCCTTTCAGGTAAACTTTAAGAGTGAGTTTCTAAATACGGACCCGAAAGATGCCTGTGACAAACCGCAATGAGAAAAAGGTGAGTGCGCGTGGTGTGATGACAGGGGCATCAAAACGCTTTCAGCAAGAAATCCGGTGCTCAGGAGGCTGGAGTTTGTGCGTTGCCATCACGAGCAGCCCCCCTGAATTAGCCGAACGCCGCATATGGAGCGCTTGTCACACTCAGGGACTGTTGAACAGGACCTGCTCACCTCTGCTGTGTGTGCGGCGCAGTGTCTGCTGAGCTCTGTCCATGCCTGCTGAACTCTGAACTTTTCTGTCGACTTCCGGTAGAGTCAGGTCTACTTTATCCGTGTCTGCTGACTTTTATCCGTGTCTGCTGACCTTTTTCCGTGTCTTCTGACCTTTATCCGTGTCTGCTGACCTCTGTCCTTGTCCCCTGACCTCTTTCAGTATTTGACCTTTGTCCTTGTCCGCTGACCTTCGTCTGTACATGTTAAAATCTGTCCGTATCTACTGACCTTTGTCCGTATCTACTGACCTCTGTCCGGTTCTGCTGACCTCTGACAGTGTCTGCTGACCTCTGACCATGTCTTCTGACCTCTGTCCGGGTCTGCTGACCTCTGTCCGTGTCTGCTGACCTCTGTCCGTGTCTATTGATATCTGACCGTGTCTTCTGACCTCAGACCGTGTCTGCTGACATCCGTCCGTGTCTGCTAACCTCTGACTATGTCTGCTGACCTCTGGCCGTGTCTTCTGACCTCCGTCTGTGTCTGCTGACCTCTGACCGTGTCTGCCGACCCCTGGCCGTGTCTGCTGACCTCTGACCGTGTGCGGGTCGCCGCGCAGGGTCTGCTGGAGCGGCTGCGGGACGGCGGCGTTGTGATCGGCGACGGCGGCATGATATCCGAGCTGGAGAAGCGGGGCTACGCGCGCACCGGCGTCTGGACCCCGGAGGCGTGCGTCACGCACCCCCAGGCCGGTGAGACCAAGCGCTGGGATGTGCCGTCCCCCCCCCCCCCAAACACACACACAAGCGGGAGTAGTTGCGGTGAGATTTGGTGTGGCTGATGCCGCCACATCCGTCGGGCTGAGACCTGCAGCCATACCAGCCATGCCCAGCATCCAGCCTGCATCCGCATCCGTCGGGCGAAGACCTGCAGCCATGCCCATCCACTCGCAGACGAGTTGGACGAGATGACGAGGACTGGCAGACGAGGTGGCAGCAGCGGGACGCGGCGACGGAGTGAAGAGGTTCTCGTCGTGGAGGCGAGCCGTGTAGATTAACGTCTTCTCATCGCGTTGTTATGGGTTCAAACAGTTCACTTATGAAAGCAGGTGCTGACGCATAACTCGTTACAATGCTAATGCTGTAAATCTCGCTGGAATTTTTGACAGGGATCGTTTTGATCATACTGATATATCGAGGTGTTCTGGGCCGATTCCGCTGCTACCAAAATCCTTAAAAGCCCGTTTCTATCCCTCTCTTAAGCAGCACGCAAGTCGTCCAGAAATTCGTCCCAAAAACTGCCTCTGGATGGCTCTGAGAGGTCGAACTTGGACACGTGCCAAACTGAATCTCGGGAAACATCGTCAAGTTTTAGAAGGTTTAGTTTTAGACGAATTCCACAGCGTAAGCGTTAGCTAACGTTTTGGAACTGACGATTTTTTCTAATTTTAATTGCTAGCGATAACGCTTTGAAATTTAGTCGTACTTGAACCGAACGGCCACAATGTCGCACTTAGATGAAAATGGGGTGATGATCCCTTTTGCATGGATTATTATAAACATTAATGCTGTGGTTCTCCAATGCCGCAACATTTGCATGTCATGCGTACAAAAATGCTGGTGGCGGCTGCGGGGGTGGTTCGGAGGGCACGTCCGTGAGAGGGCAGGCCTGTGACCCCGCCTTCCATGCCCGGCAGTGACTGAGCTCCATCGCGAGTTCGCCCGAGCGGGTGCGGACGTGCTACAAGCAGTCAACTTCTACGCCAATGAGGAGACGCTGCGCCAGCAGGGGGTGGAGCAGACTGTCGAGGAGATTAACCGAGCTGCCTGCAGGTCAGAGGTCACAGGGATCTGAGATCACAGAGGACGCAGGCCAGAGGGTCAGGGTTGATGGAGGTGAAGGGCGGGTCAAGTGTCACGAAGGTCAGGGACTGTAGACGTCAGCACAGTGTCCAAGGTTGGCGGTGTGCTGCGTGTTGCAGATATTGTCGCGTTGCTTCCGCGGCCATACCGTCATTCTGTAGGACGTGCCAGAGATGAAGCGTTTCCTTCCTGGCTCTTTGAAGCGGTGCACAGCTCTCGTGTGTATCAATCCTGCTTTTGTCTTCAAGCCTAGAGAGTCATACGGTTGGTATGGAGGGGAAGAGCAGCCAGCTAATCTATTTAACGTTTCTACCCGCTGTAGTTTGTGTGCGCTGAAAAGCGGCACCATGCCATTAATGATTAATTAGGTGGCATTTGTCTCGGCGTTTCCATGTGATGGTGAAATGATTATGATGACGTCATGTTTGATGTGTTTTTGACAACTAACTTCATCATGAGTAATGATGAATATGATCGCTTCTGGCCAGGGTGGCAGCGACCAAGTAGCATTCGCCACCATTAGCATACATAGTGTGAGGTTGACATAAGACAGGGCTTATGCCACTGGCCCCTCGGCTCTATGGGTCAATATGCTAAAGAGAGTCGTACCTTTAATGCACGTTGAAGTACTGGCTAAACACATATCAAGCAATGACTGCGATGTATTATGAGAGTACTCGACGTTGCATATCAGTGCTCTGGCCCGGGGAGAGTGACCAGTTGATCTGGGAGTGCGTGACAGACAGCTGACACATCCGTGTGTCGGCAGGCTGGCTCGTCAGGTGGCCGAGGAGGACAACCAGCTGATCCGGGAGTGCGTGACAGACAGCTGACACATCCGTGTGTCGGCAGGCTGGCTCGCCAAGTGGCCGAGGAGGGCAACCAGCTGATCTCGGCCTCGCTGACGGCGACGCCGGCATTTACGGGCCCCGCCAGCCGGGACCGCGTCATCACCGCCTACCGCAGTCAGCTGCGGCCCGTGCTGGAGGAGGGGATCGACTTCGTCATGTGCGAGGTGCGTCAGTCGCGTGGCCCAGACTGCCGAGTTATGGGCAGCTGGTGACAGCTCCACAGTAGGTTATGGGCAGCTAAGGGCTGGTGACCCGGCTTCTAGAAAATTTGGTTGTTGCAGGTTGTTGTTGTTGTTTCTTGGTGACGGCCGGATGACTGAACCATGTTCTATCTACCCCACACTGCGAGAGGCGTGAGACAAGGTGGAGAGGGGTAGTTAAATCTTGGGTGCTCTCCTATGCTCCGCCCTAGGCGGATTCTCTGCCACCTGTCGTTATCGACGATTACGGGCGAAGTGACCAACAGCAGAGACAGCTGACACGCTGCGCCGCCGTTCCAGTGGATGTTTGACATCCGCGAGATGGAGTGCGCGATAGCGGCGGCCCGCGAGACCGGCCTGCCGGTGGTGGCCTGCATGTCGACCGGCACGCGCGGCGACAATGAGGGCGTCACGCCAGAGCAGTGCGCCCTCCGCATGGCCAGGGCCGGCGCGGATGTCGGTACGTGCGGCACATGGTGCGGGTAGCGACGTTCGCCGGTCATTGACACCGGTTCACCGGTCAGTGACACGAGCTCGGGTGGGCGAGGTCAAGTTGACCCCCGATGGCTTTTCAGAGATGGTTTCCGAACGACGCGGAGAAGCCCCACCAAATTTTCGCAAAGCTGTAGACAAGTAAATGTCGGAACGTTGGTAGAAATATTTAGATGTACTTTGTAAGGACGCCGAGCTGCGGCAGGTCAAATTCAGACCATTGATTCAACAAAGACAGCTTCTAAGGAATCGTTCAATTTGCTACAACAACGGAGTGTTAGAAAAACCATAATCTCTAAAAGAGTTTCTTGGGCAACACAACAATTGAATAAATGAATTGCGTTGCCCTAGAGTCAGGTTTGAAGGTGAGACCAACGTCAAAACCATTCTGCTTTATTTCTCTAGAGGCTGCTGTATGGGTTAGTTTTCGGCGCTCATTTTGAATTTTTTGATAACAGCAACCGCATTATGCACCTTCCACTGGCTTTCTAGATGTCAGAATAGGTTACTGACCTAAAATGACAAAGGTCAACATTTTGTTTTAGGAATATACTGCCCACTGTGATCTTTTGACCCGTATTCCAATGCAAAACTCAAAGCAGACCTGCATGATTTTGGTCATCATTACCTCCGAAATGTCAAACAAGGTCATTTATATTAGATTAGCACCATTCACCTTTTGCTTAGAACAGGTATCTTGGTGCTGGGGGTATTTTGAACGCATTTTCAGCTTGACTACTTTGTTTGATTTTCTTTGACCACAAATCCATGACCTAGGAACCTCTAAATTCATAAACAGGCCAACCCAACCTGTCAATTTGATGTCTCTATCTGCCTTAGTTGCTGAGAACTCAGGAGTCTCAAATTGCCCCCCCCCCCCCCCCCACCCGAGTGAGGGTTATTTAACCGGGCGCGTGTTAAGGCAGCTGTCTTGCGGCACTCGATACTCACTGGTTGCGAAGTGACAATTGAATTACTAGCTGCGGCCAACCGCGAGCCCTTTTCGCCCCTTGTTCTTATGTGGTCGACACCTAACACACGCACAAATCGAACCCAGGTTGGTTGTGCATAGGGAATCCGGGGATTTCCAAGAGGGCAGATTTCCAAGCAGAGCAGCCGTCTGTTGTGATAGCTGGACTAGTTACGATCCCAGTCTTGCCAGTCTTTCCCACGATCTGAGCTAGATAAATCTGCGAAGTGCAAAGCTTCTATTCGTCAGCACCTTCACGAAAGTGTTCCACATTTGTATGGGTTTTGAACTGAAATAGCCATCTTGAAGAGCATTCAGTGCATTTCGCACCCATGTCCTTCTTAAGACCTAAAACCTCTAGTTTCTGAGCAACACGACCGCGAAGATGTGCAGCTTATTTCGTGCAGAATATTTCGAGGTCACCCAGACATCCATGTCGCCATAATCACCTCACTTAAATTCTGTCATTCCATCAGCTCTGCGGCGATCAAGGCCAATAGAAGTATAATCGGTGAGTAGTTCATATCTGGCGCTTGTTCATCGTGGCGCACGATTTTCAAATATGACTGCGGCCAATTGGCTTGCCATCAGTGCTGTGCGGGGCACGATGATGCAATGGAACCATAACGTGCTCAGGAGCATATTTACTAAATAAAGAAATTGTGTCATCTAGAGCAAGCTTTTGCACTTACTGCACTTAAGTATACCAATATTTTTAGGTAAGCTTATTTCATGAAATCGGAAGCTTGCTTCAATAACTTCAGATGTGAAATATTCACTTTAATCAACCACTTTCACCAGCACCCACTCCACACAAAATATCCAATCAACACCAGCAGCATGCTAGTTCTTTAATGAATCTCTTAATCCTTGGATCTCCACGGCAATAGACAACATATTTTATGCGACGCTTCCAAACGGAAACGATCAAGCCCAAGACGTACAGAAGTGGCATGATATGACATGATTTGAACCAATGAGAAGGCCTCACGACATCATTTGAGGGAGGGGCTTCGAGGCTAAACCAATCAGAGCTAGCGATCTCCTCTGAATTTCGGAGCTTGATGGATGCAAGGTTATGTATAGTCAGGTGCCGAAATATCTTTTCCAAGGAAGCATCGAATTCCAACACTGATAACAGCGCACTGATAAAACTGAGACGTCTTTGTTCTTTCGGGGAACGAAGTAAACGGCGGTCTACGTCCCAGGAGTGTCCGATATCTCAGAAGCTTTTGTCTGAGCGGTATGATTACAAATGCCTTCGACTAGCTGTCCATAACTCGACACGACGCGTGTAATGCAGCATCGTCTAGGTGGGACGGCCCTGGTTGACGTCCAAGTGGAGGTGCCCAGCGGCCTAGCGCCGGCGTGTTATGGGTAGCTGGTGGCTGCGACCAGTTACTTGAATATTTTAGTTTCAGGGATTGATCTTTACAGGGTATTATGACAACTCCGTTTTTAACAACCGCGTGGTGCTCATTTGATTTGCCTTTGATGTTTCCCCAAACTTGACAAATTCATGTGAAACACCCGTTTAAAATTCAGTTTGTACTGCGCTAAAATTAGTCCATACCAAGTTGTTACGAATTTTGGCAACGTGCCAAATGCGATTTGCACCCACGCACCATTCTCTGACATCTGTTTAACGCCCTTTTGTCCCAGTCTGCAAGCACTTAACCGCTACACCCTTCACACAAAAATCCATTCGACACCCGTTTTACGCCCCAATCACTCTCACTTTACTCCCTGACGACGCCACATCACGTCCGGCAGTGGGCACGAACTGCTTCGTGGGACCACGGAACGCACTGCGGACCATCCGGCGGATGCGTCTGGCGTTGGCGGAGGCCGGTCTCACGAGACCACTCATCATGCAGCCGGTCGGCGTCAGGACGCCCGAGGACGGCACTACTATGATGAGCTGCTGCCTCTGGCCAATGGGTAAGCTCCGGCTCCAGTGATGAGGGTGTAAATATACGCCTTTGAGGGAGTTTATGACTTGGGTGGGCTGTGAAACCAGCGTCGCAGTGAATGCTGGTTGCGGGCGTGTTCCACTGGTGCACGGGTGATTTCTGGGCCACGCCGTTGGGTGTGAATGCACACCTTTAAGATATTTTAATGCTTCAGTGAGCCTTAGAGCCAGCAGCGCGGTGGATGTTCATCTGATGTTTACACGCAGATGGGGGATCACACAAGCGTCATCAGCACTAACGTGAGCTGCTGCCGTTGGCTGTAGTTAAGCACCTGGTCTGGCGGACGAGCTTTAAATGTACGCTTTTAGGCAGTTACGATAACGATATCACCAATAACGATATCATACGATAACGATATCATCGCCTACTACCAGAGGTTCGTAATTTAGTCTCAAACGCAGCGGTTAAAGCGGCTTCACGCCTCCTTTTTTTGGGCTGTTTAGGTTTGAATACAGCGGTTGAAGCAGCATCACGCCTCTTTTTTGGACTGCGGTGCATGAATTAACAATAGCCCCGGCGACAGTGTAAATGTACGCGACACGCGATGAATGAAACGTCTGCCAAAACGCTTGCTTCCAAAAGACAGTTAACTGTACTCGTGGCCGTACACTCTTAAAACACGTTGTAGAGGGAAGGGAGGTTGAAATAAATTCCAGTGACGGGACATCTACCTATGGCCTTTTTTCAGCGAGAATAGTTTTTAAACACCGAACATCCAACTGGAAGCAAGGCTGAGACGACCATTGCGGGGAGGCTAGCACCGTAAAACAATGCCATGGCGCTCCGTGCCGCCTGCTTTTGGACTGATCCAAGAGAATGTCCTGGAAAGCTGCGAAGACAACATTTACGATTGTTCCCTCCACTCGGCCTGATGGGCGGGAGGGTCGTCCGAAAATCAGGCCAGGTGTTCAGCGATCCTCTTCGTCACCGTCGCGCTGACGAACTGATCGCGCTGACGAGCTGATCGTGCTGACGAGCTGATGGCGCTGACGAGCTGATCGTGCTAACGAGCTGATATGCTGACGAGCTGATCACGCTGGTGAGCTGATCACGCTGACGAGCTGATCACGCTGACGAGCTGATCACGCTGACGAGCTGATCGTGCTGACGAGCTGATGGCGCTGACGAGCTGATCGTGCTAACGAGCTGATCGTGCTGACGAGCTGATCACGCTGGTGAGCTGATCACGCTGACGAGCTGATCACGCTGACGAGCTGATCACGCTGACGAGCTGATAGTGCTAACGAGCTGATCGCACTGACGAGCTGATCGTGCTAACGAGCTGATCGTGCTAGCGAGCTGATCGCGCTGACGAGCTGATCGTGCTGACGAGCTGATCGTGCTGGCGAGCTGATCGTGCTGACGAGCTGATCGCGCTGACGAGCTGATCGTGCTGACGAGCTGATCGTGCTGACGAGCTGATCGTGCTGACGAGCTGATCGTGCTGACGAGCTGATCGCGCTGACGAGCTGATCGTGCTGACGAGCTGATCGTGCTGACGAGCTGATCGCGCTGACGAGCTGATAGCGCTGACGGGCTGATCGCACTGACGAGCTGATCGTGCTGACGAGCTGATCGTGCTGACGAGCTGATCGTGCTAACGAGCTGATCGCACTGACGAGCTGATCGCGCTGACGAGCTGATCGGGCTGACCGGCTGATCACGTTGACGAGCTGATCGCGCTGACGAGCTGATCGTGCTGACGAGCTGATCGTGCTGACGAGCTGATCGCGCTAACGAGCTGATAGCGCTGACGAGCTGCTCCGTCGCCCGCCCGTCGACAGCCATGGAGTCGCTGGTGCTGACGCGGTTCGAGAGTCGTGCGTTCGCGCGGGAGGCGTACGACGAGGGCGTGCGGTACATCGGTGGCTGCTGCTACTTCCGCGCCACCCACATCAGGTGATATCTCCTGATACTACCGCTGTTCTCACCACATGGAGTGATGTATCCTGTAGCTACTTCCACGCTCACTACATCAGGTAATATCTTCTGATACTCTTGCTGTGCCCACCACATTGGGTACTGAGCACTTATTCCACTGCTGTGTCTAACCACATCAGTTAATATACCCTACTGCTACTTCCGCTCCCTTCACATCGCGCGATATATCCTGACTCTTCTTCTGTACCTACCATGACCTGCTGCTGGTTCCATGCCCACCATATCAGAATGCACATTTTGTCTCCTCTTCCGTGCCTTAAACATCATGTGGTATGTTGTGCTGCTGGTGGTATGTCCGGCCCAGTATTTAGTTTTTTTCTGCTGCTGCTCCCGTGTTCAACGTATCAGTTTGCCTGCCGCGTTGTCCCTAGTGTCAGGACTGCCCGAGCATTGATCTCCGCATTGACACCGGCGTAGACACGTTAATTTCATATTGACGAAGCGTCGGGGCTTGCAGCATTGCTGCTGTGTTACATTGCTTCATCACGCACATATTTTATTGTTACACATGCCGGCACAGTGTCACTGGGGAGTGGCGTCACTGGGGATGACGTCACTGGGGATGACGTCACTGGAGATGAGCACGCCTACAACCGTGCCGAATGGCTCGACCCCAAGGTCATGGTCGTGCTGACCCCTGACATTCAACCCCAGGGCGATGGCGGAGGAGCTCTCCAAGGAACGGGGAGGTGTCGTCCCGGAGGCGTCCCACAAGGGCGGCTGGGGCGCTGATCTCGCCACGCATGCTAACCTGGACGTCTCCAAGAGGTGAGGCTACCCTCCGCTGAAGGAATGACATCACGGCTTCGGGCATGGGTGCAGCAAGGGTTCTTAAGGGGAGCTACTCGGTGAGTTTTCAGGCGGGGGAGGGATGGGAGCAGCAAGGACATCTCAAAGGGGAAGGACTAGGGTGAGTGTTCAGGCAGGGGCGAAGCAAGGTTTTCTTAGCGAGGGGAGGGACTCGGTGAGTATTCAGGCATAGGCGCAGCAAGGGTTTGTTAAAGGGGGAAAGGACTCATAAGTATTCAGACAGGGGTACAGCAAGGGCTGCTTAAAGAGGTGGAAGGAATCGATGGGGACGCATCACGCCCATTTGCCACTTTCTGTCGGGAGCCGTCTATGGTGACAAACGAAACAAAAAGAAGCTTAAGGAGGGGGGGGGGGGGAGGGGAGCAGGGCTGCTTCCTTTGGCTGCGTCCCCGGTTTTAGGTTGGACCGGGGGATTTGCTTTTTCTTCGCTGGCTCACTCACCAGCGTCACATTTTGTTTCCGAAAGGTCACAAGGCAGCATGGTAGAGACGGGGAATAGAAGGGAATATTCTGAAGCTATCATTTAAAATTCCAATGCATTTCATCAACGAACCTCAAGAGTAGAACTGATTCAGGAAAATTTTTTGCGACTTGAGGAAGCGAGACGGTGTTTTGCCGCGCTTATGCTGGGCTTTATGCCATGTTTACGATTGGATGTATTATCTCCATAACACCCAGTTCCTCGATGCTTAACGTTAAACACAACTCTTCCACGCTCCAGTACCGCGCAAGACCAGTTTGTGCGACATCGCTTTATTACTACATAATCCACTCATCCTTAGAACAGCTTTACATCGTCAGGATCACGTATCAGAACATCAACAACGCCACGCTTACTTTTGCATGCATCTCAGTTGTTTATTCTTGGTTTTGAGCTCAAATGACGTTTGGCAGCTCAAAGTCATTCAGCAAAAATTAAAATATTTTCGCTTGCGGAACAAAATTACACGATGTATGATGCACGTGTAATCCGACGCTGTCAGACATGTGTTTCTTGAACTGAAAGCTAGATGCAGTCCTTTCCTGTTCATTTTCAGGAGCTCCAGACATTTTTGGATGAACGCAAAACCTGCCTCTGTCGGCGAATCAGCCAATGAATACCTGGCCAACTGGAAGCACGCCTTGACCAACTGAGGTCTCCATGCAAAACGCACTTCAAATGGGCTACAGCTCAGACCAATCAACCCTGCTGCCATCTGCCGGTGGCAGTCTGAACTGATCGTTAGAGCCAAGCTCCACCGACGTGACATGCGCGGAGAGCCTCGGAGGCGAGGCTAAACCAGGGTCTCGCTACCAGAATGTTGTGTGTTGTGCAGCCTGCAACCTGCATTTTGGAAATACTTGTAGAGGTATCGGCCGTTTCTCCTGTTCGGGTCATGTATTGCACTGCGAGCGGTGCAACTATGATTTGGCCTCCCTGAGCCGTCGAATGCCTTCTCATAGTAGTGCACTAGCACGTGGCGTCGTGCGCCCTATGGATGTATGGACTCCGTGTGTCTGAACTGCGGCTTGTCATGGTGTCAGTGGTTTGTCATGATGTCGACGCGGATGACACGTGTCCCAGCTGGCGATGAGGGTGTATTTCGGAGATGCGTTCGCAACGGACATAACCCAGCGACGCCGCCTGCTCCGCGTGTCTCAGTTGGTGGTTATGTCATGCGGTGATGGATGCCATGCGCCACGTGCCGATGTGAAATAGCTGGATGGTGAGTAACGCCTGGACCGCGCGGTCAAGACGTGGGGTCGATTCCCGCCGCGGTAAACATTTATTGGCGCCGTTTGGCCGGAGGAACGCTACGCGCGACTCTTGTCCCAGAATGCATGAGTGTCGTGCAAGCATCACTGCAAAATTACTGCGACGAATTTTTTGGCTGTGACGGGGAGTAAGCCATCAGATTCAAGGCAGACATAACAATACAGGAAACATTTACGAACAGACTAATGTCAACCACACGAAAGGTCGTTTTGGAGGCAAACCTGAAAGGTAACTGAAATGTATAGATAAATAAGAAACTGAACATGCAACCAAATAGATTAACTAAATATATAAATAGGTGCATAGATTTTGGACTATAACTTACAGATAGCTACACACATTTAAGGATAACTTTTTCTGAAGGCTTCGCTCTTACGACCACATCAACGAAGTGATGAACAATGTAAATCGAGCATTCAGACTCGTCTTTCTCATATCACGCCACACTACTTTGGCCGTTCTGTGGACACACTACACTATACGCCACACTGCTATGGCTCAAATTTACACCACATACATGCAGTCCACTCTTGACCATTGTGGCATACTGCACAACGGATAGGCCTTTGTGATCTGTGATGTGCACAAGCTACGAGGTACACGGTCTCATAATCCCAGTTCCATTGCACCTATCGTCCCCAGCCACAACACAACACGACACAGGCATAAACCTGCGCTTTGCAAACACCCGATGAAAACCGCTTAACCGTCTCACTTCATTTCAACGTTCATTCATGCATGTCATAACGCAACCTTAGAATCGGTTCCCCCAATCTTTCTTGCAAAGACTCAGCTATCAAAATTTAAACACGCCCTGCCCAAGAGGCTGGAAGTTGAAGCTCTGCCACGACATTATTGTTCAGACAAACAATCTGGCAACACTCCCTCCACCACACTTCGTGTGGGCATATCCTCTTTGAAGGCTCATAGATATTAAACTAAAAAAGAAAGATCTGCGCTGCTAGTGTGGCTTCCGCTCTGTAACTGTCACCCACTTTACCTTGCACCGCCCGCTCTCCGGTGCCATTTGGGACCACCTCCTCAAGACAATTTCAGAAACGGATGAGACAGCAGTAATAACCTTACTCCTTAGAGAAAAACCAGGAAAATAGAGAACCATATATCAAGGAGAATAGAAATTCATAGTCCTGTTTTTCCGGAGGAAGAAGGGTATTACTACTGTTATATCTATGTGAATGATGTTCCTCGCGAATGCACTGAACAACTTACGTAATTTTAGAAATGCTGCAATGCGATTTTTTTCAATGAAATCAAATCAATTCAATCAAATCAAATTTCGCCACGCCCCATTCACACAAGAACTTCGACACACTGCCACACGGGGCTGATCCGGGCGGCGGCAAGGGCTGCGCGGGGGTTCATGGCTTTCAGGCTCACTAAGTGCGCTCAGGCCGATTTCAAAACGCATGCAACCTGCATTGGCACGCGGACCCCACTGGTGCAGCGGTAGTGGAAATTACACTTGGGCCACGTCGGCCGAACGACTGTTGCGTTTAGATCACATACGAAGAGATGCTTAAGCAAATTCGCTTTTCGCCGATATACAATGTAATCCTCTACATGTGCTTTTGTAAAGAATGTTTTTCCTATTGTTGCTGTTGCTGCTGTTGTTGGGTGACGATGCTGCTGACTTTCAGAGCTGCACGTGCCCATAAATAAGCCGAAAACTTCCGCTCCGTAACGTGGCGGCGATGATATGACTTCGTGACGTCATCGAGTCCTGGAAGTTTTTCGAAACTGCTGCACCTCGTGCAGAAGTCCGTCATCTTCTCAGTTATCACACAGCTGGCGGTAATACACACTGCAGAATACCAGAGCCATTCTGAGCAGACCCAGATACAAACAAGCCTCAACCTTGCTCATGTGCGCCGATAGTCGAAAACATGCGCGTTCCTCCACAACTGCAGCCGGCCAGCAAACCAGCAGCCCTTGGTGTAACGGCTCTGGCAGACTGCAGACGGACTTTGTGCGGTCACCAGGGACACCTGGCCTGTAGAGAGCTGCCGAGCACGCAGGTCAGCTGGCAAGGACGGCAGGGACGGAAGGGACGGAAGGGACAGCAGCTCAGCTGGCAGGGACGGCAGGGACAGGCGCATGGCCAGCAGCTCAGCTGGCAGGGACGGCCGGGACAGGTGCATGGCCAGCAGGTCAGCAGCCACGCACTGCGGGCAAGCGAGATCGGTGGCGATGGCTACGAGATGCTTGGGGACGGGAGAACAGGGCGAAGCTGTGATGTGGGAGCCGGCCAATGGATAGGTGTTGCACACGCGGATTCATGTCCATGCATGGCAAACGTTGGCTTCATGTTTACGTTCAAGTTCATGCATTACAGACGTTATTTCCATGTATGGCAAACGCGGGCCCACGTAATATGCTATAGAAGCGAATCCACGTCATATGTATTTCAGACATTATGTTCATGTTCATGTATTACAGACGCTTGGTCATGTCCATATGCCCCTATTGTATTTCGTTGACAGGGATTCAGTCCATGCCATGCAGACAAAAACATTATTTCTTTGGCTGACACCTATTGGACAGCATCAGCCACTCACGCTGGCGATACTCGACTACAGTGCAACTGGTGAAAGCGCTTAAGAGTCTACATTGAAGCCACGCATTTAAGGTCATTCCAACTCAAGGCAGAGAGCGAGCAAACCATACATAATTTTGCCACTGTAGAGCTACCACTAGCCCTCACTGGCGCAGGACAATTACAAAGACGCCAGCAGCGGCGCCAGAAAAAGACGCCCCGGGCCAGGGCGCTGATGACCAGATCCAAGGTTGATGATGGGCGCCCCGGGCCAGGGCGCTGATGACTAGACCCAAGGTTGCTGAGGGGCGCCCCGGGCCAGGGCGCTGATGACCGGATCCAAGGTTGCTGAGGGGCGCCCCGGGCCAGGGCGCTGATGACCAGATCCAAGGTTGCTGAGGGGCGCCCCGGGCCAGGGCGCGGAATGCGCGCGTCTGTTCAGAACTGTTGTAAATAGTTGCCAAGCGAGCGAGCCACGTTTACAAAAGTGGTCGTCGGCGCCGCAGTGACCTTTAAGGACATCTGGCTTGCACAGCAGTACCAGAGCACAAACATTGGGTTATTACCCAACACTTGTCGGTGAAGCTTGCTACTAACCCTAAGTGATGCAGGGCAGGTAATTAAAAATGTGTGTGTGCCAGCCCCCCTCCCCCCATTTAAGGGATCCTCCTACGCCTCTGACCAGTAACGACTCCGCTGGCGTGTGTGACCTCTGCCGTTAGGTCACGCCGGCAACTAGAGAATGTCAGCCGCATCTGGCCAACGCTTCAGCTGTCGCGCTGAATAAACGTGACCTTTATGGTGACGAACGAGAGCTTCATTGCCTGCGTCATGTCATCTCAGGGCCACACCCTACCGGCTCGGTGCGCTGGAGAGGAGGGGGTCGACTAAGTAAATTGCAACTAGCTAACGATCTCTACCGGGAATACATTCTGTGTTTAAGTCAAGCTATTTTCTTTCTTCAGTCGAATGTTTTCCGAAGCTATTACGCACTCTAGCATGTTTTGCCGCCTGATTTACGGTCTTCCCGGTACACGTCGTTTTGCTGGAATCTAAATGGTTCTAAAACGATCAGTGGGAATTCACTGCCGGCACTAAAGGGGCTCACATAACCACCGAATAGCCTCCAGGAAATGTGAAGACCATGACCGAAGTGTTGCTGGGTGTTCCGGAATCAGTGCTACGGCAAAAACTACTACGGACAAAAATGCTACGACTTAAGTTCTCGGCGGCATTACTTCTGCTGCAAAGACTTGTGCATGACATGAGTGGTGCATGACAAAACGTAGGCTTCAAAGACGTTTCCCGTCATTACATGATAGGGTTAGGTTAGGCTAACAGGGTTCAAATGGCTTGTCATCTTTACTTAAGCGCGACATTTCTTCCATTGCAAGAACTCCTACATGACAAAAGTGCTGCACAACAACGCCTGTACTGCAAAAAACACGCACCCGTCATTACGTATACAGCAAAACCTTGTCTGTGTCTTGATATTTTTGGTTACTTACATGAAGAAGTACATGATGTGATAACTGGATTGCGCAATAGCGAGCGCTGAAGTCTGAGCGTTTCTCCCAACAACGCCACAATTATCGCCGCCAGCAAGCCCACGACCCAGCGGCCACTCGTCCCATCTGCCAGCTGATGGGACGAGTGGGCTCGTCCCACATATCTCTCACTAGGCCAGGCACAAGTGGCTGCTCTAGGTCAGACTTCTAGCCGCCTCCGGCCGGCGGCGGACGCCCGGCGCGGTAACGCCATTCAGTCATCACTTAACCGCCCGCACCCGCTGCAGATTCTCAGGCGAATTATTTGGTTTGGAGATTAAATGCTTTTGAAGATTTGTATTATCTGCTGCCAGGTCCAATTCTTAACCTATTCGTTTTGAGACAATTATTGGGCTGTACCTTAAAATTGAGGTCGTAAAGGTTTGGGATGATGCGTTCTGATTTACTTGGCATTGGAATTTTGGTCCGATGGTAGCGAGGACAGTTCAATGCATAGAGTTTTGGGTTTTCATGTGCACGGTTCAACAAGCGGAAGGGGCGAGGTGCTGCTGGATTTTGAATTCAGAACATATGATAAATCCGAAGCTATGATACGTTGAAGGGGTGTCATGCAGTGGAGGGGGAGCCAAACTACGGCGCTGGTATATCACCCGTTTGAAGGAATGGTGAGACTGGAGGAATGCCACCTGAAACATCTTGTATCGGCAAACGTCAAGCGACCCGTACCGATTTTACTTAAGCGTGGCATTACTTTTGCTGGAAAAGCTCATACACGACAGACTACACGGCAGACAGGCACGTGTGCTACATGAAAATATTCGTACTGCAAATACACATGCTCTTCACTACTTGTACAGAAAAAACGGGAGCAGTCTTCGATTATAGGCGACATTATTTTTACTGCAACGAGTTATATGCAATATTAGAGCCACACCACAGCGCCTAAAAAGTAATGAGAACTCACACTAAATACGTGTGCAATCATGAGGTCCATTGTAAAAGCTGTATGGTGTTTAATTATAAGCGATATTACCTCTACTATCAATAGTCACACGCGACAATAGTGCTGCACAACGTAGGCCATGCTCCACAACTCATACCCGTCACTACTTCCACCCCAGCCCTGGTACGTGTCCATACATTTCGGACGTCAGGGCTTGATTTTGGCAGTAGAGGCAGTGTCCCGTTTAGGTAAAGGCTGTGTACCTTTTGCATTGGAAGCACTGATAGGCATAAATATTTGCAATAGACGTAATGGTGGGCATACCTTTTTGCAGTGAAAGGAAAGACAGGTATACGTTTTGAAGTGTAAGTTTTGTTATGCGATACTAACGTGAAATGGCGTCGTAGTACTCTTTCCAGTAGGGGATTTGCTGTAGCACTACTGTTGTGGAATCTGCTGGATGTCAGTTATATGGTGTGATTCTGCTGCGTGACTTGAGCTTGCTGATGGCGGGGCATGCTCAGACGCAGCCAGAGCTTTACACG